AGCAGGAATAAACGTCACAAGTAGGAAGGGACTCATAGACATGAAGAAGTTCGATTATCAATCAGCTTGGAAAGGGGCCAGGGACTGGATACGGGACACAGATGGGGGAGCGAGTAGGGTGGAGGATAAAATCTGGGTTGGGGTGATAGGTGGATAGTGGTTCTACTCATTGAGAGGAGGAACGGGTTTAGGGTAGGGAGGAAAGAAAAGTAGGTTCTGTTTCAAACATATTGAGTCTGTGATACCTGTGAAACTGCTGGTTCTAATGTACAGGTGAATACAATCAGGACAAAAGGGACATTCTACGCAGTGAGAGATGCATGTCTGTATGGGTCAAAGGTGTAGAGAAAACAGCAAACAAGTGGATATGTACAAGATTACTCAGAGAAAGTAAACAGAAACAAAAAGACCAACAAGAAAAGTTTCCTGGGCGACCGCCAGTATTTAAGTGGTGGAGAATTTCACAGATTGAGGCTGAGCAGTCATAAAAGTAGAAGCAGAGCCTAGAGAATGATGTCATGGAAACCATGGTAGCCCAGATTTAAGAAGGGTGGGGTGAACACTATCAACAGATAACTGATGGAGTGATGAGATAAAGGTTCAAAACACCTCCATTGTTTTTGAGAAATTAGCTGGCTGGTCAAATTTGCACAATGCCAGCCTTTAAGGTCAGGGCTCTGGGGTTAGACTTTGAAGACTGGAAGGGCTGTACACTGTGTCGGGGAGGTGCTGAGTCTCCCTTCTGTTCACATCAGGAGCATGCTCTTATCCTGGTACTGAAAAAGTAATATATGCTACACAGGACAGTGCAGATGTAGAAGGTTAGAAAGTAATTGAAGGGCTGACCAGCTCTAAAATGGTGGAGAAAACCAGTCTTTTGTGTGTGAGCTTTTATTTCTTGCTCCAAGAGATCACTGCTAACTAAACACCCCATGTTCACCTGGCAAACCTCTCCTCCTTTAAGATTCAAGCCAAACACCAGCTACTCCATGGAGCCTTCACAGCCCTTCCCAGGTAGATTTAGTTGGTTTTTCCCCTGTGCTCCCACTGCCCTCTGATCACATTTCAATTACAGTACTTACCACAATGCTGTAATATTTTGGTTAATGTGTGAGCAAGGGCTGTATTCAACTTATCTGCATTATCAGCACTTTAGTGCTTGGGCCATAGAAGGCATTTGATAAACGTTTACTGAGTGAGTGAATATACTTAAACATTGAAGTGTCTTTCATAAAGAAACAACCCAATCAAAAAATGGGCAGAAGACCTAAATAGACAATTCTCCAGAGAAGACATACAGATGGCCAACAGGCACATGAAAAGATGCTCAACGTCGCTAACTACCAGAGAAATGCAAGTCAAAACTACAATGAGGTATCACCTCACACCAGTCAGAATGGCCATCATCAAAAAATCTACAAACAATAAATGCAGGAGAGGGTGTGGAGAAAAGGGAACCCTCTTGCACTGTTGGTGGGAATGTAGGTTGGTACAGCCACTATGGAGAACAGTATGGAGGTTTCTTATAAAACCAAAAATAGAGCTGTCATAAAAAGAATGAAATAATGCCACTTGCGGCAAGATGGATGGACCTAGAGATTATCATACTATGCAAAGTAAGTCAGAACGAGAAAGACAAATACCATATGATATCACTTATACGTGGAATCTAAAATACGACACAAATGAATGTATCTATGAAACAGAAACAGACTCACAGACATAGAAGACAGACCTTTCATTACCAGAGAGGAAAGGGGGAGGCGGATAAACTAGGAGTCTGGGATTAGCAGATACAAACTACTATATATAAAATAAACAACAAGGTCTTCCTGGGAACTATATCCAATGTCTTATAATAAGCTATAACGAAAAAGAATAGGTATTTTATATGTATAACTGAATTGCTTTTCTGTACACCAGAAACTAAAACACAACACTGTAAATCAACTTATACTTCAATTTTTTTTAAAAAGTGCTTTTTACACACCCACGCACTCATATATGTGTTCTCACATTTATGAAGTGGAGGAGAAAATTCTGCTGACATCTCTGAGTACAGTTACATGTTTCATTTAACAAGTGAGATACTCTGGTAAGGGGTATTATTTGGTTTGCCAAAATAACTACTATGAGGCAAGACGGCAGAATCTTTTTGATGAAACTGGAAACAAAACTAGTCTCCACTCAGTCACCTATTAACCATATTATTAGGCAATTACTCAATACAAACATGTTGGTACATAAACACTATGGTCTTGCTCCACTTATATCTCCTTACCGAAGTCCATCTCCTCCATATTAAAAAGAGACCAACATGTCAATATTATAATAATTTAGAGCCATGTAAGGTGAGTGTTCCAGCAATATTAGCACAGACGGGAAGAGACACTAGGATATTCCTGTGGCGGTTCTCACCATTATGTGTTCAGGAAGGCAGGACTGAGGCAGAATGGGTGGGTGTCACACTGGAAGGGACAAAGCCAGCAGGTGTGCATCACAAGGGCAACAGATCTATGGGCCATGAAAACCAGCTCATGTGACAGCATTGGCACTTACATTAGACAGTTGCCATAGAACATACGTAAGAAAGCTTACAAGTACCTTCTCTCAAATATTTTACCAGTGGACTGATGGCTGGGTCATTAATTTAATACAACTGCCACATGAAAGCAAAGAGAATCATTACTTTTAGAAGAGTAATCAGGAAATCACACCTAACTACCATTCCAGTCACATATTAACAGAATCAGCATAGGAAACATCTCCTAGCAGGCACATTTATAGGCATTCTTCCGAGTGGCAGTCCATTCAACTACGATCCTGCTCATTCCTATAAGCATAATGAGGCAAGTTCTAGCAATGAAGTAGGTACAGGTATTCAGACCCACAGATTGATTCAGAAATATATAAATCTAAGTAGGAAAGCAGATAAAAACAAATAGGGAAAAGGCAGTCAGAAGTTCCCAATTCATGAAGACACGTTTCTAATTGTTAAGCAATACAGTAAGAACAAGTCATTAGCCACTTACATCTGATTCCCAGTAATAATGAAAGATTAGGCTCTTTGCCCTGAGCACGCTGATTAAGAATACTACACAATGCCTTCAAGTCAAACAAACAATAGGACATTTCCTTGAACAGCTGATCAATCACACTCAAATCAAATAGTGGTCTTTTGGAAAGAACGGTCTGCTGCCTGGATTGGTCTGCTTCCTGGCCCTGATCCAATAAAGAGCAGGTCTCTTCTGTTTGTCTTTGGTTCTGCAATGGATAAAGAAAACAAAAATCTGGTTGTTAGAACAGAGGAAAGGTACTCAAAAGTCGTAAAGGTTAACAATCCCTCATCCAATTCTGTAAAGAAAACAGTAGAATATTACATGCACATTAACCAAATTTAACTGCATACATATAGCAGGAAAAATAAAAAGGGAGAGAAAAAGAATTTAAATAGTGGGAAGGGTGCCATCTGATGGCTTAGAGTAAACCTGAGAGAGGAAACATGAATTCAAACAGTCTCAGTTTCTAGGGGGTCTCTCATGATCTCACATAAAAATACCTTGGTTGTGTATATATTTTGCTATGAGATGTATCCCAAGAACAAAAAGAACTGCAAAGAAAACTTAAACCTCATCCTACAGTTTTATTGTTAGTAGCCACAGTGATTTAGTTACTCTGAAACTATTTTTTGTACATTGGGGAAAAAGTATATATGTTACTATATTAATGTTGACAGGAACGAAACTTTTCAGTGTAAGAGAAAAAGGAATGAAAATATAAAATCAAAGGAAAAAAAAAGCCAAACAACTCTGAATTGTTAAATTTGACTTGGAAGTATCAGTACAAACTCATGATTTATTATGCTCAGAAAAAGCTATGCTCACCTCTTCCCCAAATTATCACCATTTACTCCTCATCCTGAAAACTGCTAATTAAAGGTAAGTTTAACTAGCTTTCCAGTTGGAACTGTATTTCAGAAAAGCCAAATAGCCTGGGTTGATGAGGAAAATACAAATTTTTACAGACAAATGCCAGCTAATAAATGTAAAGGGAATGATAGAAAAAATTACTGTTGTTTTAGTCATCTAATGATTCAGACAATGATCACTGGTGTAAGCTAAAACCATCAAGGGAAAGGTTGCTGGCAAACTGCACATCCACACACTTGCCTAAGTATCAACAACCCCATTAACTGCTGACTGCAGAGGCTACAATGTTACAATGGAAAGAATCAGTCTGTCACCACCTTAACCCAGTGAGATGGGTATTTGTGACACAGTGGGAAAAACAAACATGTATAATTTGATGATGTGAACAATACCTACAAAGTATTCATGCCAAAAAATGTTTGCACTGAATCTCATATCTTTAGCTTTACCTCCTAGCTTACAAGAAATACAGGGGGGAGAGAACAAGATAAACCACACCATGAGGAAGCAATCAGACAAATCTAGGTGTGACAAGTTTACAAGTCTGCAAGACAAAATGCCCAGTTTCTTCAGGGAGAAGAAAGAAACTTTAGGTTTATAAGACAAAATGAAACACAACACACGGTCCTTGTTTGAATGCTGGTTTCAACAGCCACTATAAAAAACACTTGGGGAGCAAGAGGGAGGGGATATGGGGACATATGTATATGTACAGCTGATTTACTTTGTTATACAGCGGAAACGAACACACCATTGTAAAGCAATTATACTCCAATAAAGATGTTAAAAAAAAAATCTGGGGAAGAAGGGGGGAAATTTTCATAAGACTAGGTATTATCAAACGTCAAGGAAAATTATTATTCTTATTGGGTGTGACAATGGTGAAATGGTTATATAGGAAAATGTCCCTAAGTTTTGGAGATGCATTCCTAAGTATTTAGAGGAAAATGTCATGACGACAACTCAAAAACTAAAATAAGCATTTTTTATACAACATGTCCTTAAATGCAAGCCAAGTATTCCATCTCATAATTAAATGAAGAAAGTGTGACCTGTTCCAGTGATGAAGTGTCTACATTGCACCTTCCCTTAAAGATTTTCAAGGGTAATTTTGTTTATATTCAACTTATGCATCATTTGATGACTTTAGGATCTAATCTCTGTATACCATTTGACTTTGCTATAGTTAAGTTTGTGCAATTGTTTCTAAGACATTAGAAAAATAAAAGTTTGTATTTCAGATTATAATTTTAGCAAGAAACCTAATGGATTTAATTAACTGGCACATCAAAATCAAGTCTTCAATTAAAAAATGATTTATGAATATGTACAAAATAGGCATTTGCTTTAACTTAAGTAGGTACTGAATCATCCTTGAAAGTTATCTGAATTTCTTTTACTCACATCAAGCAATGTTCTTAATCTCTGAAGGTTTCTTTCTTTCTTTTCCAGCTCTTCCATCATCTTTTGAGTAGTCAATTTTTCTTTAGAAAGCTTCCCTTGCATAGACTAGGATAAAGAGAATTGCAAGCAAAGCATGTTAATGCTTAAAGCAAAATGCAATCAGGTAGGTAACCAGGAATACTGGCTCTGAATACTTTAGATGTTCTGACCTCCCTAGCCCTTGGAAGATGATGTCTTCACTTTTCAATCAACCCATATTACTTCTAGAGTGGATAATTCCAAAGCAGGGGAGGAGGGAGGAAGGAGAAAATATCATCTTTACCAAGACAGTTTTTAATCTGGGTAAAACATGTTAAATCTAATGTTGCTGTTTAACAACTATATTACAAACAGTTCTTATTTTATTGATTTTTGTTTATATATTGGGAGTGTATTAGCAAATCTATACTTTAAAAAAACCCTTTTTCTTATGATTAATAAGGTACAAGATAATAAGATCATAAGACTATCCCTGTTTTCTATCATTTGAAACAGCTAAACAACCTCTCTCAGTGTATAGTATTCCAAGCTGTGAATATGATGCTCAATTCAGGGCAAAGGTCTATTATGGGACTTAGATAAACTAATCTCTCTTAATTCCATTATAAAATTATAAATTATTCAGACATGATACTATTGTGAGATAATCTTGAGTATACCAAAGCAGAATATAGGATATTTTAAGAGTGCTTGGGTCATTTCAGCTTATAAAACTGATTTTCAGCTACACACCAAAGAAGAACTTGCCATAAACCTTGTACTTATCAGTGATTTTTTTTCTATCAACTTTTCCCCTTTCACACCACAAGATCAATAAACATGACTAAAGAAGAAATTTCATTATTTTTTGCTTCAGGTCTATATTTAGTCTCAACTCTGAAAATACTTCAGAATGCTGATGACCTAAATAGCACACAAGCTACTGTGAAGGTTTTTTTTTTTCCCTCACATTATCTCTGGATGGAATAAGAGAGGATAGCTGTCACCATGGGTTGAGATAAGACTCTAAATATAAAACAGTTTTCTCAGTAACAGTATTCAACCTTGTTGCTTTTTAATTTCATTTGTCTGCTAAACTCTGTAAAAATACTATATTTAATTCCTCAAAAGTTGGACACAAATGAATCAAGCTCTATAACAAGTACATTTTCTTCCAGGGAAAACTTGTTTTATATTCCACAAAGATGAATTCCACAGTACAAAGTCACATGGGCTATCTGAAAATATACATTTTTGGATATTGAAATTCCTTTGTAACTGAATCAAAACCCATTTGATTGAATGATATGTTGGGATTTATTTACCTAGCTAAAAACTCATACTTACTGGCATGACAAGATTATTCGGCTAGAATCCAGAATTCATCCTAAATTTTCTTAAGATTTGTTGACTGTTTATTTTATTAGAATTGTAGAAGAAAGGCACCACAAATAAACTACTCTAAATCTCATATTTTAACAGTGAAAACAGAACCCGAGAGAGGTATTTTCACAATGCTGTAATATAATTCTTTAGAAGATTATAGTGGTTTTTATTTTTATCATGTTGAATGTGACTAATAAGTAGCTAATAAATCTGACTAATATGTTACTGTGTAAGACTAAATTTAAATCAGTGAAGAAAAAGGTAATCTCCATCAGAATAAACCAGAAATGTCTGGCAGTATTGCTGTCTGTCATAAGAAGGAAAATTGAATTGGGAAAATACGTTAAGCTTAACGTGTTATGTTGGTTAGGTTCAAAGGCACTAGTCAAGCAGCCCTTTAATAGAAGAAAGAGTTCACAGACACATTCTAGTAAGACCAAATGCTGTACAACTTATAGGATAATACTAGGTGTGAGTGCTATAGCTGTCTGACAATAACATTTCACCTAAAAGATTAATTACTTCTCTATCCCAAATTGTATGAAAAAGCACATGTTTAAAGTTTAAGAAAAAAGCAAGGTGAGGGGAATCTCTACTAAGCTTAGAATGGGATTAGTGAAGTTAAAAACGAAATCATTTTTAAATGTCTACAATTTCTCTTTAAATTTCCTGTTTAATAACGATTTTTTAAAAGTCTCAGTTACTAATCCACAGGTGTTGATCACAATCATTCTTGCAGTTGAAAGTGGTTTTAAATTCATTTCTTATTTTGAGGTAAATATCCAGAAACGCTAACCATTTTTTGGCGCATATACAAACAGCTCCAATGAAGGAAAGCCAAACGTGCCTGACTCAGCGTGTTCTATGTACTCCACAAACCCAGTTTGGGAGGGTGTTTTGAAAGCCACTGAAGTTAGCCGTTTTACCATAGAAACACAGCAAGCGACCAACCTCACCCCGCCCCGCACGCCATACAAGAGTTCCACAAACACATTCCTTCCTACAATCATTCATTAAGCAGAAATTACAGCCAAGCACTATCTGTTCACTGGATGGTACACCAATGAACACAACAGTAAAGACACTTGGTCCTTGTGGAACTTGTACTAGGAGGGAAAAGAGCAAAGAAAATAAACATAATAAATACATAAGTTACGTAGCATCACACACTGGGACTTGCCTCGTGCTTTGGAGAATAAATAGGGCGTGGTGAGGCAGGGCGGTTAAAATCTCAAATGGGGTAGAATAAGGGCTCATGGAAAAAGGTGACAGCTGAGTAAAGTCTTGAAGGAGGCGAGAGACTGTGTGTCCCATAGGTATCTAGAGAGTATGTTTCAGTCAGTGCAAAGGCTCTGAGGCGGATGGTTTCTTTTCTGTTTGAGAAAAAGCAAGAGAGCCAGGATGACAGAAAAGACTAAGAGATCAAGTCAGAGAAGGAAGGCGAGGTGGGGAATTGATTGCATAAGCTCTTCTAAGCCAATGTTACAAACTTTGATTTTTAACTCAGGAAAAAATGAGGAACCACTGAAGGGTACTAAGAAGATATGATGTGATCTGATATTTGTTTAACAGCTCACTCAGGTTGCTGAGAAAACACTGTGGGCAAGCAAGGGTGGCAGCAGAAAGAAATAATCCAGATAAAGAATGAGGATGCTTGAACCAGGGTGGCACAACAGTGGAGGTCAGGAGAAGGTGCCAGATGCTAGATATATTTTGAAGAAAACAGGATTTGCTCACGAAATGTTAGGCAAAAGAGAAGTCAAGAATAAGTCTTAAGGTTTCCAGACAGAGCAAACGGAAGGGCAAATAGATATGGGAAATATGGAAGGTGTAGCAGGTTTATTATTTTTTGGCTTAGGGGAATAAGAAATGCAGTTTTGAACATGTTATGTCTAATATACATCAAGTGGTGACATTGAGAAGGCAATTGGATATACAAATTGTAAGATAAGGGGAGCACTTTGACCTGGAGATAAAAATTAGGGAGTAGTGAGCACACACATTATATTTGAAGCCGTAAGACTGGGTAAGATCACCAAGACGAGTATAAATAGAGAATCCTAGGAAAGAAACAAACCCCTTTTTTGAAATATGACACTGTGTGTGTGTGTGTGTGTGTGTATTTTAGCAGTATAACTGACCTACAACACTATGTTAATTTGAGGTGCACGACATAGTGATCTGATATTTCTATACATGACAAAATGATCACCATGATAAGTCTAGTTATCATCTGCCACCATACAAAGTTATTACAATATTATTGACTATATTCCCCCCACTGTACATTTCACTCCTGTGACTCATTTATTTTGTAACTGCAAGTTTGTACCTCTTAATCTTGCTCACTGGAATATGATACAATATTTTTGAAAGTAATTTACATGTCTTCAAAATAAACCTTAACATAAATATCACAAATGAAACTAAACTTATCCCTAAATTATAAACTGGAAAAGTTTCTAATAAGGTAATATGTCCAATTTTTATATACTAGTCTACTAACTTGCCTATACATTACAATAGGATTTATGCTACAGACCTTAAATTTATTGTGTCTAGTTAAATCAAACAACAAAAACAACCAAAAAAATCTTAAAAAGCAAGTTCCTCTGAATTCTTTTGATTGTCATTTTATTGTACATATTTCAATTATCTAGAAACAAGGTATAAGTCAGTCACTTTAAGTTTATTGCTGAGAACAGTCAAAAGGCTTCATAGTAACTGTTATGATTTTATTAATACAAGCACACTATTTTTGCAATAGCATATGTAACTATACATAAAAGGTAAGATAATAGTGCTACTATCATAAGAAATAGCAATTAATAAAGAGCATGCATACTTAATAAGATAATGGCATTTAGAAATCATTAATAAAAAGACTATATTCTTTTAATAAAATTTAATATTTTTCTCTCAACACCTTTTAAAAAACTAGTTAAGACAAGTTCATCTCCTACACGAGGCCATCCATTCGTTCAAGACTGGGCGAGATAGCTGTTTTATCTAATACGTAGAAACCAACACAGAGAGTCAAGGAAAATGAATCCGTTCCAAATTTAAAAATAAGATAAAACCACAGAAAAAGACCTTAATAAAAGAGAAAAGTGGTTTACCTGATAAACACTTCCAAGTAATGGTCATAAAGATGCTCACCAAGGTAAGGAGAACAAAGCAAGAACAAAGTGACAATTTCAACACAGAGAGAAAAAGTATAAGATAGTACCAAATAGAAGCCACAGAGCTGAAGAATACAATAACTGAACTGAAAAAATACAATAGGGGGTGTTTAATAGCAGACTAGATGAGGCAGAACAAAGGGTCAGTACATCTGAAGACAGGGCAGTGAAACTCAGCCAATCAGAGCAGTAAAAAGAAAAAAAGAATGAAGATAGTCTGAGGGACTTATGGGACAACATTAGGCAGACCAACATTCACATTATAGGGTTTCCAGAAGGAGGAGCAAGAGAGAGAAAGGGACAGAAAACTTAAGTGAAGTAATGGCTGAAAACTTCCATAACCTGGGGAAGGAAACAGACATCCAGATCCAGGAAACTAAGAGTTCCAAAGAAGATGAATCCAAAGAGACTTACTGCAAGGCACATTATAATGAAACTGTCAAAAGTTAAAGAGAGAGAATCTTACAAGCAGCAAGAGAAAAACAACTTATTACATGCAAGGGAAAGCCCATGATGCTA